ATTCCAGAGATTAAGCTCAACTTTTACGCTTATTTTAATTATGTGTGACAGCATAATAGCAAAAGGCAAAGGTAGACAAAATTGCTTTTATGACTTAATGTTTAAAATTCTTGCATTTTGTGCTTAAAGTAATTGTTTCTTCTTATAATTTCAGTGCTTTTTTCCTCCGTGAATAATAGGAAAGACAACATGAATGTAACTCCTTATGCAACAATTATAGTTTCTGTTATCAAAAATGGAAAAAGAAATTGGACAGAATCATCATTATATTTATGCTAACAAAGATGTTTGAAATGCAAAGAGATATTTTGATATGCCAGTTAAAAATGTTTATTTGTATTTCTTTTTTTTAAGTTTTCGGCGGACACAACATCTTTGTTTATATGTGGTGCTGGAGATCGAATCCAAGCTGCACGCATGCCAGGCGAGCGCGCTACTGCTTGAGCCACATACCCAGCCCCTATTTCTATTTCTTTTAAAACTTTTTATTCCTTCAGAATAGAGAATACAGGGCTGGGGATGTGGCTCAAGCGGTAATGCGCTTGCCTGGCATGCGCGGAGCGCTGGGTTCAATCCTCAGCACCACATAAAAATAAAATAAAGATGTTGTGTCCACCGAAAACTGAAAAATAAATATTAAAAAAAATAATAGAGAATGCATTCACATAGTTTCAAAATCCAAACTAAATTAATAGGTACATGTTGAGAGACTTGTCTCTTGTCTCTTGTAGCTCATTCCCTACCAGTTCCCCATAGGCAGTACTTTCTTAGTTTAAGTGTCCTTCCAATGTTTCTTTATGAAAAAAATATTTGTATTTCCCCTCTTTTCTGTCACATGATTTTTTTTTTCACTTAAAGCAATTACAACTCAGAGGTTTGAGTTGTGATTATTCCAGAGCAATTTTTATGGCTCTGGTAAAGAATACCATTTGGAAAATCTATAGAATGATGATACTTTAATGTCTTACTTCCTTGCTTTATTTTGATATCAGTGAACATTATACTTCTCATTTTTTTAAAAAAATGAGAAGTATAATATTCTCAAATTTCATAAATATATATATATATATATATTTTTTTTTTTGCCTGAGAATCAAGAGTGTGGCCCAGTTCCTGGTAGCCAAAGTAAAAAATGCATTCATTCCATTTGTTATCGTTATCAATTTTGTAGAACAGATTTTATAGATGGGAAAATTAAAGCTGTTTCCTGATCTGTAAAAAGAAAACAACTCCAAATCCCAAATGAAATATTCTGACTTACAGTTTTGGAGATTTCAGTCCATGGTCAGGTAGACCTACTGCTTTTGGGCCTGTGGGGAGGCAGCATATCACAAAAGGCAACAGGTAGTGGAACAAATGACCTCTCATGCTTAAGATGAAAGAGAATGGACAAAGGGGTTGATGCTCCCAATGACTGGAGAACTTGCCACTAGGACCCATCTCTGAAAGTTTCCACCACCTCTCCACAATGCCAACCTGGGGATCAAGCCTCTAACACATGGACCTTTKGGGGACATTTCAAACCCTAACTACAGCTATGTTCTTGCAGTGTTTGATAAACACTGAATACTCAGTATTTGTTGAACTGATTTGAGACAAAATGCAATTCAAATTTCATAAAAACCTTTAGAGTGTCCATTTTGTACAATATGTTTTTCAAGATTACAAACTTATAGTGTACAGGATAAATCATTTTATTATTCTTTATTCATCTCTGAACTATTTGAAAGAAGTAAACAACAGCATGTTAACATTTCTCAGATGCAGTTCCACAAAATAGGAAGAGATAATATCAACCAGTAAATGATATTGCTTATTTTAAAATAAAATGGCTTTATTAACTGTAGGACACTTTATAGGTGTGAGATCGTCTCATTACTTTGGTGATGATTAACAAGTATTACCACTATTACTGTATGGCTCTGTGCTAGACCTATAAAAGTATAAAAATAAGTGTATTCTGTAAATTAAAATCTATCTTAACAGAATGGTCATAAAGCATACCAGATAAAGTTGGCAGGGTACACACTTGTTAACAATATTTATGCACTTGCTGTAAGAACATGAGAAACCAGGGTTCTCTTCCAGGTGGAAGTAAGGAGGAATTATTAAAGGGTTTGGAATGATTCTAAAGATGAACTATGGTTGTGGGGATCAATACTGGATTGATTWTTACAGTCATCTTTTCTCAGAAGGTGGGAGTAAAGTGGAGTTGGGGTAGACACTGGTACGAAATTAACAGCAACAACAACAAAAAATAAAATTAAAAGCCATGTGAATATTCACAATAGCCAAAATGGTGGAAGCAACCTGAGTGTCCATAGATGGGTGAATAAACAAACAAAATATAGTATGTATGTATAATGGAATATTAGTATGCCTTAAAAAGGTAGGAATTTCTGGTACCTCTACTATTAAATGAAACTTGAGGACATTATACTAAGTGAAATAAGTCACAAAAAGACAAATACTATATGGATCTACTTATGTGGTATCTAGTGTCATTAAATTCAGAGACAGAAAGTAGAATGGTGGTTGCCAGGGGCTGCCATGCTGGATGGTAGAGTTGGGGAGTTGAATGATCAGTTCCAAGTTGCAGTTTGGGAAAATGAAAGAGTTGTGTTAAACTAATGGCAGTGATGTTTGCACAATATGAGGATATTTCATACCACCATGCTATACACTGGAAATAGTTAAAATGGTACATTTTATTATAATTAAGAAGATTTAAAAAAATAAAAAAAGTAGTGATCTCAAAAGAAAAAAAAGGGGGGTGGCGTGGGAGCATTTGTGTGGCCTTGGTTATGTCATGGTCTTAGATTCAGTTGGGAACATTAGTCTGATTCTCAGCACTGCTCTCTCAGGGGCCTGTTTCCTTAGAAACCAAAATTAAGGTAAAYGTGGAATGTTGTGTTTGAAATCACTTTATCTGAATTTCTGCACCTGGGTTGAAAACAGAGGCTACTTCTCCCACACAGTGACCCACAAGGCTTACATTCTTTAAGCAAGAGGAAATGTTCTGTTTTTCACTGAAAAGACTTCAAAGTTTTCCATACTCTGATTTTAGAAAACAAGACTTCTAGGCACCATGTCCTTAAGTTAATTAACAAAAGAAGTCCTTATAAGTTCATGGCAGAATTGAAAAAGTAGTCTCTAAATGGAGTAATGTGGCTTTGGGATAAATGCTGTCAGGAAAGGGAAAGGGAAAGGGGAAAAAATGATTCCAAGATAGGATCAGCTTGCCTTCAGAGTCTAGGGCCTTTGATTCTTGTGTCAGGCCTCTTTCTTACATACGTAGTTTAAATTAGGGAATTCAATACATGCATCATTTGGGATATTAATCTTTCTTACCAATCTAATGATATTACACACTAAACAAAAAACCTTAATTTTACAGTTTAATGCTAGTCATCTAAATTGTGTTTATTATTATAACAAATGTATATTACTATCTCTGAATAAAATGGAAATTTCCAAAAAGTCCACACCTCATTTTCAGTACTCAGTATTTAAAAATTATGAACACAAATTTTTAGGACATAATATCTTAAATATAAATAGCACCACTGAAGATGAAATTTGAACTAGTCAATGTTATAATAGTAACATGGAAAAAAAGGTGTTTGAAAATTTAAAGAAATAATACTTTAGGATCATAATAAGAAGCCCAGTTGATAAGTTTCTGTACTTGAATTGATTCTACTTTCTATGAATCAAGTTGAAAACTAAATGGGGAGGAGGAGACTATTTCTTATAAAGTAGTCTACAAGAGAAAATAAAGCTATAGCAGAATAATATGATTCATTGGGCAGTGTGGTTACAATGTATATACGTGTTGTCTACAATAAAAGTCTTTATACATATAATCTGTGCACACGGTTTGATGATTCTTCAAAGAGTGTTTCTCTGGATCCTGGTAGGTGGTGGGTTGAGTACACCAAAGGAACAGAAGGTGAAACCCAGTACACGCAAAGCTCTGATGAGGCAACAAAGTTTCTCTCTCACAAAACCAGCTCTTCAGGTAGGAATTACTGAACGATGGACCATAAACTCTGTAATTACGGGCATTAAGGCTTTCAGAAATATACAGAGGATATAATTCAAGATTGAGATCAACATTTGTGCCAAAGTGTCCTTTTCACACAAATTTGCCGCTGAATAGCCAAAATTTAAGAGACCCACAGAATTTGACACTCCGGCAGATTGATCCTGTGGTGGCCACCTCTACAGGAAAAGACGCAAACGAAAGCTGTCATGGGAGATTAAAGATACTTTGATCAAAACCGGAAAAGTTGACAGACCAGGCAGAACTGTTTCAGTTCATTTTAATTTAGTCGACTGCACACGATTTATTTATTTTATTTTTTGTAACCAGGGATTGAACTCAGGTGTGTTTAATCACTGAGCCACATCCCCAGGCCACCCCACCCCCAGTCCTTTATTATTATTTTTGAGAATTTTTAAGGGTGGAGTAGGAAGTCATTACCACTGACATTTAGCAGCTGAACTGAAACAAGGCCCAGATTCCTCCACAAGGAACACTTAGCTAACGAAGGAAAAGAAACTTTGATAGAACACCTGATACATGAGAAGTGATCTCTCTGACAATACCTCATTTAAGGATTTCTAAATGAGAATAGTGGAAGTGTCTTTGTGGCCTAAAGTAGCTCTTCGGTTTCAAGTAAAAGAAAAATACTCGTAGGTGAAAGGGAGGGGCAAATAAGAAAAAAGAAGGGGGGAGATAAAAAGGGAAAGATTTTTAAAAAAATCGCAAATAACTAGGTCTTTTCAACCAGTCCAAATAAAAAGAATTCTTTTTCCATTCTGCGGTTTAGAACTAATCAAAACTCAGGAAATAACTCTGGGAAGCAAACAAACTTAGCCATGAAAAACATGCGCGTCCAGTACATCCGAAAAACACGTGGCGGGGGTGGGAACTCGCGTCTCCGCTCCTGGACTCGCAGTCCCGTCGGCCCTTTCGGCGGCCGAGCCCGGCGACGGAGGGCGGGCGGGCGCGAGGGCTGCCGGGACCTGTGGTCCTCGCTCAGCGCCTCCCCGCGGGTTTGCGACGTTTAGCGACCATTGCGCCTGCGCGCGCGCCGGCGGCTAGGCTGGGGCCGTGGCGGCTCGTGCCGGGTGATGCTAGGCGGCTCCCTGGGCTCCAGGCTGTTGCGGGGTGTGGGTGGGAGTCGCCGGCAGTTCGGGTCGCGAGGTGTCCGCGAAGGTGGCGCAGCCATGGCGGCAGGGGAGAGCATGGCACAGCGAATGGTCTGGGTGGACCTGGAGGTGAGCGAGTTCGGCGCGGGGTGAGGGGCGGCGAGTCATGTTTCGCGCGTGGGACCCAGTGGCCGAGCCTGTCCCGGGAGAGCGGCAGTATGTGGGTCTCGGGTATGGCAGGTGAGCGCGTCCCGGCTGTGGGCAGCGCTGGGCAGGACTCCAGCGGGAGTTGGGGACTGGGCTGGACCGTGGGGTTTCTTTACAGAAAGGAGGAGTCTTCCATATGTCTCTTTCTCCTCCTGATCACCTTCGCCAACTTGGACTTCCCTAACGCTTCGGTGCCTGCTGGCTAGTATCACTGGAGGGGGTAGGGACAGCATCTCTGCTTCCACTTCCCCCACAAAGCCTTAAAGGACCCTATGCTGTTCAAGCTGGATGGGACTCCGGAGATGACTCAGCCTTACTCCTCTTTCCATAAACGAAAAAATTGAGGCCCAAAGAGAGGATTCAACACTTTCAAGGTCGCGCCATTAGTGAGAGTTTGAGACTAGAGCCCAATTCTGATTTCTTCAGTTTTAACATACTTATATCAAGCCCTCCCCCCACTCCTCCCCGAGCCTCAATTTTCTCTGTGTAATGATAATCATTCCTTTCTACTTAGATTGTGATAAAGATCAACTAATGTAATTAATAGAAAATTTTTGTAAACTTCAGAGACATGGTGATGTTGGTTATCTAATTCTTCCATAATTGACAGCACTCTCTCAATTTTACTTACTTTGCATGTGTCCCGGAGTAGAATCACAGTGCCTGACAATGGTAAATGTTGAATAAGTGAGGATATGTATTTAGTACCTTGCATGCCCAAGGAACATTATTCTGTCTTCTATTCTGGCTGTGGAATATGTCAGGAATTCTTGTTTAATAAACTTGAGTAAAAGAGACCGGGAAGGTGTTTTTCTGTGTATTACATATTTATTTTTTATTGCAGATGACAGGATTGGACATTGAAAAGGACCAGATTATTGAGATGGCCTGTCTGATAACAGACTCTGATCTTAACATTTTGGCTGAAGTAGGTGAATACCATATAATACAGTCATACTCTATGGAGGGCATGAATATCTAAAGATCACTTTCTCCAGTGTTATTATTTAAAAAATAAAGAAATTGAGCTCCATATAGATTAAGGTCCAAAGTAGTATGAACCATGCCCAAACTGTACAGAAACATAAACTCTTGTGGTCTACTGAGAACTTAGTGTGTCAGGACCAATTCTTAAGTGCTTTACATGTTTTCATACTTAGTCCTCACAAAAAATCTTAAGGTAGGTGCTGTTAATAATGCTTATTTTATAGATGAGGACACAGAGATGTCACCCAAGGTCACCTGGCTAGTTACTGTGGAAACCTGTAGTTTTAACCTAGGCAGTTTTAGTAAAGTGTTTCTAGCCAGTAGGACAGTCACCTATTGTCCCATCAGGTTTGGTGACTCATGCCAAAGTTTATATCTTTATATCCTATTCTTGGCTTTAACTTGATACCCTATGTAGTCATTCCTTGGTATGCCTAGGGTATTGGTTACAGGACCCCCCTCAGAGACCGAAATCTGAGTATGCTCAAGTGTTATTTAAAATGACATAGTATTTGCTTATAACCTTTGCACATCCTCTCATATACTTCAGAGCATCTCTAGTTTACATATAATATCTAATACAATGTAAATACTAAACAAATAGTTTCTATACTGTATTGTTTAGGGAATAAAGAAAAGAGAGGTCTCTACATACAGATGCATTTTTTTCCTCCAAATATTTTCAATCTGGAGTTGGTTGAATCTGTGGATATAGAACCTATTGTTACATAGGGTCATCTGCCTTTTCATTCAAGACGTGTTTCTTTTAGATCTATATGACAGTTTTAGAATTTCTGTTAATGCACATCCAAAAAAAGTGTTCTCCTGTGGAATATGATAAAGGTTTTTATATTTTTCTATTTTAAAACTGAAACATTAAGCAAAACAAATACACCTGCTGCATTTCAGCCTCTTATGAAACATTTAATAAGTATGTGATATGTCTGATTGGTAGGGGATAAAATTCCCTAGTTTAATACTGTCACCATTATTTGGAGTCATTCAAAAAACAAAATAGGGTGTTTGTAGAAAAGGGAGGATTTGTTAAGTTCCCAGAAGGTAGGGTTGATGGTTTATTTGTGCTGGATAAATTTTGTAAATCTACAGGTATAACCTTCCTTTATTTCCCAGGTAGACAACAGGTGAGAGGCATTTATAGATGAGTTGCTGGTGTGCCAGACTTACTTTCTGACACATGAGCTGGAGAAGACTCATGAGACTCTGTTTCTCATGATAACTTTTATTTTCAACTATATAAAGAAAGTCCTCAGTTTTAGGTTTGGTTGTATTTTTTTCTTTTTCCTGTGACTTGGAATTTACTATAGAGATTAGTGAAGTGTCTTTATTTTATCAGCTCTCCTTACCCTTAGCCAAGGAAGTATTTTTGCTTTAGATAGTTGATATAATGTGAAACACTGAAGGTTAAGTGGACTGGTAGGTTGATATGTACCCTGGAGAAAATTTGGGTATGTGTTCACACAGCCTGAAATAGGCTAAGTTTAGATGAGGATAAGGATTTTAAAAAAATAAAAAATATGTTGGAGCTGTCAGTTGAGTGGAAAATGTTTTATTCTCATGTACAAGTGTGAGGAAAATATTTTATGCTAGTAGAAACACAAGCAGCCTACTCCAAAACTTTTTTAGTGGGTGCTAGTGGGTGCCTTGATTTGTTAAACTGGAATCTAAACCAGGTTAGTAGATTTATAATATGTACTTTGCTCCTTTCCATTATTGTTTGATTTTTTTTTTAAACACTTTATTTATTTATTTGTTCGTTTTGGCCATTGAACCCAGGGACTCTTTACCACTAAGTTACATCCCCAGTTCTTTTTTTTTTTTTTTAAGAGAGAGTGGAGAGAGAGAGAGAATTTTTTTTTTTTTTTTTTTAATATTTATTGTTTTAGTTTTCGGCGAACACAGCATCTTTGTTTGTATGTGGTGCTGAGGATCGAACCCGGGCCGCACGCATGCCAGGCGAGCGCGCTACCGCTTGAGCCACATCCCCAGCCCCTGATTTTTTTTTTTTTTTAATATTTATTTTTTTAGTTGTAGGTGGACACAATATGYTTATTTCATTTTCATGTGGTGTTGAGGTTTGAACCCAGTGCCTCACGTGTCTAGGTGAGCACTTTACCACTGAGCCAGCCCCGAATTGTTTTGTTTTTAATATCAAAACAATTTTTTTGTTTCTCCATGGAGATTGCCAACACAAGGTTTTTGTTTGGCTAAAACTCCTTTTTGTTGTATAATGTCAGGCATATTTTAGTCCATTTCTGGCCATTTCTTTCAGTGATTGCAAACTATTTTTTGCCATCTTAGTAATAATAACTTGGATTTGTAGAATACTTTTCTTTTAGAAAATTCAAAGAACTTTTGTATCTATTATTTCTTTGATCCTAACGAGGAAAGAGGACCAATTTATTGATTCACCGTTTTCCAGAAGGAGAAACTAAGGTGACTTGCTTTAATGTTGTTGACCAGGCTACTATTACTGTTGGGCCTCTGTCCCAGAGAATCACAGTTGAATGTTTTATTAAATGGAACTGAGAATTTGAGGGCCACTCATTTTAATTTTGTTTTTTAGATGTCTCTAGTTACCTCTTCTTTAAAATTTTGCTTTTTACTTATTTTTTTAGTTTGTTTTTTAAATGTAAAACCACTGTTGAAATTAAACAGAATAACTTTAAACAGTATGATTACTATTGTTTTTTTTTGCCTTGTTCTCCATCCCTGTCCTACTTCCCAAAGTTTATGTATTTTCTTGACATTTTGCATGCGTATATAAATGTGTACATTTTTTAAAATATGTACATAAAATCATATGCATGTATACACTGTTGTGCAGTTTACTTTTCTCACTTGGTAATAAAGATACTTTTCAAAATGAACTCATAATCAGTATTTAGCAGAGTTTTTCTAGAAAGGGCCAGATATTTTTTTTTTTTTTTTTAAAGAGAGAGTGAAAGAGGGGGGAGAGAGAGAGAGAATTTTAATATTTATTTTTTAGTTCTCGGCGGACACAACATCTTTGTTGGTATGTGGTGCTGAGGAACGAACCCGGGCCGCACGCATGCCAGGCGAGCACGCTACTGCTTGAGCCACATCCCCAGCCCAAGGGCCAGATATTAAAATCTTTTAGCCTTTGGGTGCCATATACCTCTCAGTCATACATTGTCTTTCTTTTTAAATCTCCTTTAACAATGTAAAACTCATTCTTAACTTTTTGGTTATAAAAAACTTAACCAAAGCCCGGGACTATAATTTGCTGAATCTTGGTAGATATCTATGTCCTAAGGGGCATTTTGGTTTTCACTTGTGTCGTTCTTTTTTTCAATCATCGTAAATAGTTCTGGAATGAATGAAGACCAGTTTTAGAGTTCATTAAGTGTCCTTTATCTTCTTTTTCTGATACATGCATTTAGTCCTTAATGCAGCTTGAACTTTATCTCTGAAAACAGGGTTATTTCTTTTGATTCTTAATGACTAATGGCTTTTCCCATCCACAGGGTCCTAACCTGATTATAAAACAGCCAGATGAGTTGCTGGACAGCATGTCAGATTGGTGTAAGGAGCACCATGGGAAGGTAACATTACCAAATAACAAGATTGCTGCTTTGGGGAACAGTAACAAGCTTATTGCACTCACATCTGAATCCTAGACCATTGTTGGATGGTATTTAAAAAGAGGGTTAGAGGAAGATTGCTTGGCAAGCCTGGGAAACTGCTTGCTTTTTACTTTTCATCTTTTGGACCTCTCGAGATCATCTTCTCCTGAATGTCCTCTTTTTTCTCTCCTATATTCAGTCTGTCGCGAACGCATTGTGGATTGTCAAGTATTACTCAAGTCAGTCTTTTGGATGAGGTTAGACATCAACTCTCAGAGAAGGGGGAATGCGGCTGTCCTCTTAATAGTTGTTTCTTCCCAGAGGTTATATCCTTGGACTTTGAGCACCATCTTTTTTGACTGTGTGGAAATGCTATTAACAATCAGGAATATAACTTATTGGCTTGGATTAAGAAAAATTTGGTGAAAAGATGGCAGTTTCAATTTGAACTTGAGCTCTAAAAATGGTCCATCTGTGGTGATACTTGCCCATTTTAGAAGTAAAATTTCATTTCTGGATACCTTTGAAAACTGACTTCATGTGTTTCTGCTGGGGGCTGGGGATTCTCTCTTGCAGTCTGGTCTTACCAAGGCAGTGAAGGAGAGTACAATTACATTGCAGCAGGCAGAGTATGAATTTCTGTCCTTTGTACGACAGCAGACTCCTCCGGGGCTCTGTCCACTTGCAGGTAAAATCCAATCCTATGTATATCTTCTAGATAGTCTTCCATTGTAGTGGTTCAAGAGACTGCAATTCCAGAAATACCAGCCAAGCCTATCTATATCTTCCATTTACCCTGATTTGGATTGTTTATCTTTTGTGTTCAAGTTTCCTTGTATAGTTCACAACATGAATATTAGGAAAATGCGCTGAAATAAGACATGAGAAGTTAGAAACAAACTCAGTAAAAATTTTTCCATATTTTTATGATGAAAGAATTTTTGACACAGAAAAGTTGGACTGAGTAATTGTTAAACGTGTGCCTGTTGGTTGTACCTATTTTTTTTATATTTGACAATAACGTGTAGGTTTTATGACACTTCATTTCTAAAAACTTCATGAAGCATCTCCTAAGAATAAGGATATTTTGTTATGTAACACAGTATCATTATTGCATTGAAAAGAATTAAAGTCATTTAATAATATCACGTGATGTCTAGTCTACATTCAGAGTTCCCTAAAATGTCTAATTGTTTTTGAACCAGGATTCAGTCAAGGCTCATGCATTTCATTTTGGTTATTATGTATCTTTAGTCTGTTAACCCAGAACTGTCCACCTATCTCTATTTTTTTCCCTTGTGACATTGATTTAAAAGAGACCAGGTCAGTTCTATCAGGATTTTTAAAGCAGTAACTTTGTAAGAGGGGTGGTAATGTTCTGTGGAGGTGTATTTGCATTTGTATATGTCCATTGATGTGGTAACTGACACTTTTATCAAACATTCACAGGGAAAGTTTTGGCATTAAGTCTTAGAATTACATTGTGTAAAAGTTCTTCAGCCAATGTAGTTGATACTTATTTTAACATTCTTATTTAAAATTTAGTGTTTTAAATATAAATTACTGTGTGGAAACATGAATGTGGATGTGATTTGTTATAAAAATTGGAATGTAAATAAAGGCTTATTTACTTACATGATTCAGTTAAGTTTTTAGTGTTAGTGGTGTGTATTTTGTGACACTGGGAGAAAGTTTGCACGTCTTGTATGAACTTGAAAAGTAACAGATTTACATGTTGCGTGTGTGGAATGCTGGATTTGTCCTTTTGTCTGTGAGGCCATATACAAATTTATTATGAGCCAGACTGACCAAATTCTTGGAAATCTGCATCTGTAAGCTAATCAGAAGCACTCAAACTTGATTTGGGAATTTAGAGATTTAGGAATTGTTTAAACTTTAAAAATTTATTTCYGTTTCAAATACAATTTATGAATTTTTATATCCTGTTGTATACTACTAGAAATACATAGATCCAGTATGCTTCATGTCTTTCTAGGAAATTCAGTTCATGCAGATAAGAAGTTTCTTGACAAATACATGCCCCAGTTCATGAAACATCTTCATTATAGAATAATTGATGTGAGCACTGTTAAAGAACTGTGCAGGTAAGGGCTATATTTAGGATCCATTAAGTTGCCTCATTTAGCATGTTTTAATTGAGAATTTGTGGAAAATAATTGAATAGAATTGTAGAACTGAGGGTATTAAGTGGGTGTGTATCTACGTCATCCCATTCTCACTTGTACAGGACCTTAGTTTATTCTGACTGGTGAGACTTGGGGGGGAAATGTCAAATATTTTCCATGTAAATTACATTCATGCCGAAAGTTTATTGGGCACTCATTCTGTGCCAGGCATTGACCTATCTGCTGGAATATATAGATGAAGAGGTCTTAAATAGCATAGAATCTAGTGGGTTGAAAGACACATAAAAACACCCTCAAAGTGTATACTGTATGGTAACTTCTGGAGTGAGTGTACATGTAGAGTATGAGGGCACTTAGGAAGGAGCACCTCACCATGCTGGAGTGAGAGGAATGGGAATTCAAAAAGCTGTATGTGTAGCTTTTAAATTGAGGTTTAAATAAGAAGGGAAGCTTTCTAGGCATTTAAGTGAGAAGAATGCATTCCTGAGAGTGGGCAAAGTTACGAGGATGTGAAAGTAAGGCAAAAGTGTGCAGGGAATTACTGTCTGTTCTTTAATGCTGCAGTGCAATGCATGAGTTTGGCAAAGGTGGAGGGTGGGCCCAGTATTGGAGGGCTTGTGTGCCATGCCAAGGTTAGATTTTTATCTACTGAGGGAAGGAACTCCTTTGACAGGCTTAAATAAAAGAATGAGTCATGATTAGATCATTCTGATTAGAAGGTAGCAAGAAAAATGATAGATAAGAAAGGAGACTTTCTGGAGAAACAAAATGGCAGTTGGGTGTTTGAGGGGAATGGAAATAAAATTTGAGAGAGCCAATTGGCATGATACTGACTGCTTAGATGAGCGAGTGGGGACAAGGAGGAGGTATAAAGGGATTCTGGTGCTTCTAGTTGGGACAGCTGTGGTGGGCAGAACTGTCCAATGAAAGGGGGGAAATAAGAGGAAGAGTAGATTTGGTGAATGGGGGAAGGAGTGCAGTGGAGAGGGGTGAGTGTGGTTTTACATATGAAGTAGGAGTGTGGATTTCTAGGTGGAGATGTCCAGCAGTCAGGAACTCGGGAGAGGGATGACTTGGAGTTACAGATTTCGGAGTCCTATACATTGATAAGCTTGTTCAAAGAAAATATGTAGAAGGAAGAGAAGAAAGGGTGTAAGAGAATCATAGGCAAAGAGGCAACTCGATAGTTATGATCCAGATGCCTTTTGTATTGTTAATAATTACTGGAAGGAGGTAATTCATTCAGTATATTTGAGACAGTTTCCTTTGAGAGTTCCATTTCTACTGTGTATAGACGCTGGTATCCAGAAGAATATGAATTTGCACCAAAGAAGGCTGCTTCTCACAGGTAAGATTTGATCCTACTCAGTGCTTCTCAGTCTATTACACACATAACCTCCAAATTCAAATAACTTCCTTTTTGCACTCTTCTTTGGGGGAAACATGAAGATTGACTAGCAGAAAAATAACTTTTTACTGTCAGAAATTCAGGTCAGGATTCTAGTGTTCCATTCTGAGAAGGGTGATATAATCTCTTTTTTGGTCAGATAGTCTTTATTACAGTTTTAGAATGTTTAAGCACTTGGTTTATGGGTATGATAAAAAAATCCAATCTTCCTAGGAATGAGCAGCTTTTTCTAATCACAGAGAATATGGATTCAACCATTTGAAATTAGAACACTTTGTGTACAGTTGTAAAATATAGTTGTTCTACTTCAACATTTTCATTTTTCTGATTGAATTTAAAGATATTGTGGATTCAAGTGTTCTGTACTGTTTCTTTTATAATTTTTTATTTTAGAGTCATGTAGGAACATAACACTTGACAGTAGTCTTCTAAGGGTAGCATTTGGTTCATTTATTTACTGATCCCGAACTATCTGCATTGCATTTGGAGGCAAGCAGAGAAAGATCAGCCTCAAATGTCTGTTATTCTCATGTATTTTTATTGGGCATACCTGGACTATAGCACAGTAATTCTGATCTAAAAAAACCTCACCTGAAATAATTGGGGTTTGGTATGACTTGGATTTCAGAATTTTTTAGATTTTAGGAAGATCATGATATACCTGTATTGTGGTTCATGTAATGCTCCTAAAAAAGCTGACCATAATACAACACATTGGTATTTCTTCAGTGAAGTATGGAATACAACAAATGGCATAACAGGTAATATGAAAAGCCTCCATATTGAGTTTGGTCAGGCTTTGCCACATAGTGGGTTATAAAAGTACATTGGGTTTTCCAATCTGTTTTAGGTTTCGGTATTGTGATTAGAAGTTGTATACATTTACCTATTTAAAAGCTGTGTTTTTCATAGCTTAATACCATATATCCAGGATCTGGGAAGGAAGCACATTTTTTTTTTTTTTTTTGCCTTAGCCACAAAAATAACTCATGAAACTTGCACTAAATTTCTAGCAGTTGATTCTCTAGAAGAGGCCATTGGCCCATCATTCAGAGCTTATTGATTTACTTGCACATTGTTCTAATAATCTTGGTTACCTGATTTCTCAGACTACAACAGATGAGAAACAGCATGTTGGAGGAGAAGAAAGGCTGTTAGATGGAGGCAGGCTGCCACTGATTATAGCACAAATCACCACGAGAGAGGAGGTAGATCCTCTTTTATGGTTAGGTACTGTCTGATCTGATAATTGATGTTTATTATGATGACTGAGTCATGAGTTATGTTCGAGTATGTTAGTATATTTTGTTCAGGGGCATCATTAAGTATTGCCCAAACTATGTTTCATGATTTGTTAATAAGTGTTCCACAAATGTGGTTGATAAAGTTTTAGAAATACTGTGTGTGTAGCATAGCTTCCTCTTAGGAATCATAAGATACCTTAGTTTATTAAATGCAGAAACTTCAGGAAAAAAATAATTAGTTTTCCTTAAACTTATTTGACCCTGTATTTCCCCTCCTTTGCCCATTGGAGCATATTACTACCTTATGAAACAGTTTAGGAAATTTTTATGTGTATTTTACAAATTTGTTTTTATAAATGAAGTTTTTTAAAGAACAAAGCACTTCATACTGCTTTACTGAAATGTTCTACTTCTTGATGATGTCATAGAGTGGCATTTACAGTAACTTGTTCTTTATAAAAAGTTATGTTTACAAAATGATTTCCATCTCCTCTGTTTTTGGACATTTTATTCAGTGTGATATGTTTACTTATAGGGCACTTGATGACATTAGTGAAAGCATCAAAGAACTTCAGTTTTAYCGAAATAACATTTTCAAGAAAAAAACAGATGAAAAGAAGAGGAAAATTATAGAAAATGGAGAAAATGAGAAGACTGTGAGTTGATGCCAGTTCTCATGCTGCCACAACATAGTTCTCTGGAAGCAACTTATAGTAGTTTTTATTTTGTTTTTCTTTTCCATGCTGATTGCTTGGCAGAGCACCTTCTTTTAGTTAATTTGCACCTCCAGATTACTCAAGCAGACAGCACTATATGCTGTTTCCATTATGCACAGCAGCAGCTTTGTAAGTACCAGGTCATGCCCATTCCTCGGTACATATCTTCATTTGCTTTTAGACAATTTCTTTTGTTTAAAAATAAATAAATAAATAAATAAATAAATAAAYAAATAAAACTAGTTCTATTGAAATGCAAACCTTTTTGTACCATTTATTCTTTAATAGTTTAATTATTGGAAATAGATATCTTTTTTAAGTGGTATGGCTGATGTTTAAATTCTCCTAATGTACTTTTATTAAGTTTCTTAAACAGGAAGTGAACTTATTCTCTTTTGCTTTACAAGTCAAGAATAGAATAACAAGATAGGTTCAGAGAAGCAGATTTGGGCTCAATGTTATCGAACTAACAGCTCTGGAATAGGCTACTCTTCACTGCTTTCAAGAAATTCAAGTAAGCCATCAGACTGTGATTCTGTAAGTAGTAATGAAGGTTTATTGACTAGATAATATGTATAAGGCAGTCACTGTGCTAGGTTTGTAAAACAGCTTGCTTTCCTAGGTCTAATGGTAAGTAAGTAGATGAGAAGGGGTTTCAATTTGAATATATTAACTCCTAAGTTTATGTAGTCTAGATTGCAGTACTAAGGCCACTCCTCTGCCAGTGGGTGCGATGGAACCATCTGTAGAACAGGTCTCATTTCTTTGTGCACTGTATTCTGACAAATGCCCCTTTAAGACAAGTAATCAGAATTGAGAAAGGCCCACAGATGACCTGCTCCTCTWTGAGAACTACTGGAAAAGAAGACTTCTGTGATGAGCTTAAGTTATATCCCTATTTTATTGTAGTCCTTATATGAATATAATGTGTTCCAAATGTGTGATAATTACAGATATCACTAGACTGTGGATGAGAACAGTCTTATATATTTATTTGAATAACACTTCAATACTTACTAAGTCRTGTTACCTATTCAAAAACCATATGAGTGGAGAGAGAGATTTTAGTGTGATTTTTTTTTTCCCCAAATGAACAAATTAAGGTTTAGACCCACAAGTCTAATAAGTAGATGAAAACTTAATTAAATCTTCAGATTTTTATCCTGACTGGTGTTACTTCTGTTTTCTGAAATGACATGTATCCACATCAGTGGTTTGGTAGGCCAGATGGGGGGGAGTTAAGAACAGGGGTTTTGATTCAAACTCTGGATTCAAATCCAGACACCTGATATACTGAGCAGCTTCATCAGGTTCACTTCTCTGAAGTTGATAATGATACCTAACTCAAAAGAATTGTTAGAATTAAATTGAATGGTGATCTTACAGTGCTGAACACAGGGTTTGGTACATAGTGAGCACTTTGAATAATGGCTAACTAATGTTATGAGGATTTTACTCAGTGCAGAGTCTCTGAAAAAGGGTACTATGATTGATTAGTTGTGACATCTGAAGGATGGTCTTTAACCTGAGTTTACAATGCCTGTGACTAACTACATCTTGCTGGGAACTGTTATAAACTCCACTAAGAATGTGACCTTGACTTGGCTTAGTGTTTCCAACTAAAATTTGGCAAGATGGTCTTAGCTCTTACTTTAGACCTCAGGAATGTTATAAATTCCAATGCAAGAATAGATATGAAAACACTCGGCTGAGGAAATAGGTTCCCAGGAACCAGAAGCTGTTATTAATATCACAGGATTTCTCTACACACAACTGTCTGATTGATTTCATCTGTTGAACTGTTTGAGCCATGCCATTAAATTAGAAAAATTTTAACTACTGTCATTAATTTTAAATCTCTGTTGTACGAATAGCCACCTTTCTCATTTAATCCTTTGTTCTGTATCTTCATTATGTAGCAGAAATCTGTTGTGCTGGAATGAAGCTGGTGTTAGATGTTAGTAAAATGATTGTCAGCCTGTGAGATGAGCAAATCTGATCTGATGCAGGTCTGTATAAAGATAAGATGGTTCAGTGATTAGTTCATTATTTGGTAGTCTGCTTGAAAATAAACTTAAGTTTGTAGTGCTGGTATGTAGGGTTTCACAGGGGATTCCTAAAGCTTGTGAAATGAACTGCAGTACAAATTGATTTAAATATATCCACATTTTGAAAAATGATCAGTGTGTTTGCTTGGACGAGCTTGTTGTTCCAGTGCTTTTGGGGCTTCTCGTTTGGTGGTGGTTCTGTCAGTGAAGTAATAAATTATCGTGTAAGCTGTATTCTTAGGATCAGCCAGGTATCTTTCCCTACATTAAACACATGAGGTAACAAGCCAGTCCTGTGATGATGCTGATCTCCAGTTATTGTCCTTCAGTGCTGTAGTCATTGTATTGAGTGTGGGCAAGAAAGATGCCCCTTAGAGTTTAGCCATAGGAGAGAAGAATGAAACCTGAGATGCCTGTGTTTTCTCATTTACAAAGCAATATATCTCTTTTGTTAGAAAAACCAGCTTAAAAATTCGTAGGGAAATTGATGTTTTGCAGAATTGGCTTTGTGCAAGCCTTAAAGAAAAAATAATAGTCATAATGTTCAAGTACAGTTTTATCACATTGAATGCTTTATGGTAGTACTTGAATGTTCCAGGTTCACTCAAGTGCCCTGACATTCTGAAAAATTAACAAGCAGTAGGAACAGTGGAAAATTGGTTGTTGCTCAGATAAACCACATGTAGGAGATTGATGAGGGCAAAAGCTGTTCTATTCCATTATTGATTGATGAGGGCAGGAGCTATTCTATTCTTTTACTTGTCGATGAGGGCAAAAGCAATTGTGCTGTGTATCAGTTGATACATATTGTGTATCTATTTGTGAAAATTGAGTTTTAGTTATTTGAACAAAGCCTTTTACTTTTTTTGTTGATCATTATAAAGCCATAGATAGCTATGGTAGAAATGTAAATGAAGACAATTCTACTAGTTGAATATTCTCTATTGAGTAAAGTAATATTGAAGCTTCAGAATCCTTGTGAAAACAAGGGATGTGCTTATTTATCCCACTAGAAAGCAGGCAGATGCAATAGTTGTTTTCACAATTGACATGTCAAGTTGAATGCATAGATCCTGAGACTTAACTTGGTCTTCAGTATAATTTAATCAGTTTAGTTTTGCACCTGGGTTGTAATACCACTGATAATCTTAGACACAGAAAATAAGGGTATCTCAAAAGGAATGAATACTAGAAAATGGTAAGTTTGAGGAGTGTCAAGTAAAAGTTAATGTTCTTGTGCAAATAAGAACATATTCCATTAAGAGCCTCCAGAGTTCTTGGGGATCCACAATAAAATTCATGATTTGGGTTGCACAAGTAATTTGCCAAGGGACTTAATGCCACTGATCTGCATAATTAAAAATGATGAATTTCATGATATATATATTTTACCACACATACTCACATAAAACGTGTCATTTGCTACAACTCYTTTTTCAGAGTGATCCTGTTTTAGGACCAGTATGTTAGAAACAACTTAGAGGAACTGAACTCTGGTATCCTTGCTTGTGTCATTAGGAAGAGTTCCCAATTTGGGATAACAGGAAATGGGCAATTTAGGGAGATGCTTCCTTTTATGTCAGCATCAAATTAGTATAAGGAATTGCTGGTTTTGTTTACAGAAAAAAGAAATTTAACAAAATACTTTTCTTTAGGAGCTGCCAACCTCCTCACCTCCAGATTGAACTACCTGAGATGGAGAAAGGAAGCTTCTGAATTCGGAGTTGGTTAGACTCCCTGGATAGCCTAGGATRGGCCTATGTAACCCAGCCCTATTTTGTTCTTGTGGAAAAAAAAATTTTGAGTTCCACTTAACTATCTTATCATTAATATTGAGCAACAGTGTTAATTGTTAAATTAGAGACTGTATACCAATTTATGTGTTCACTTATGTTGGCTCTGCTTTTAGTTTAATAATTCATTTTTTCCTGCACATTCTCTTTATTACCCCACAGGTTCTAAGGTATCCTGTTTTCATCATTCTGCCTTATTCTCTTTTAAAATGTGTGTGGAGTAGTTGACATGATAACCCAATCATTTTATGTTCATAATTAACAAATAGCAGAAATAATTTCAGAATTGATAAGTAGCATAGCTACCTTCTTAAAGTGACTAGGATTCAAGGTTGCTACTGTTCTACTAGTGATTTTGAAATATAAGCTAGAAATGTGGGGTTTGGCATTATATGCTTTGGGGCTAACTCCTAGAAAACTTTGTTAAGGACACACACACACACACTTTGAAATTCCTTTCCTGTATTCCTCCTTGTTCTTCACAAATACTTTTACCATGCTTTCAGATTTAGCATGGATTTAAAATTTTCAGTGGTGATTTTTAAATCCTTCTGTCCCTTAGACTTCCTTTCACTGTCCCTCACATGTCTTCCTAATAATATTTCTTAGTGCTTTTGCTCCCACAAAGTGGGTGGCTAGGTGTAGATTTTTGTGGAACCCTGGTTCCAGGATATTTTCTTTTTTACTGTTTTGCTCACCATGTCCAAATAAATAGCATTTATGTAACAGAAAAGTCAAAATGTAGAACATAAAAATTCAAATACACACGTATTCTCATACTTTTTTATTAAAGTAATAATGTAAAATGTGTGTAACACATAAAAGTAATAGCAAATACCATACATACGTTGTATGTTTGATAAAGAAATTATGTGCATATATTTTTAATATGTAAAAATATTAAAAAGTGATAAAAAAAAATAAAAAAAAGAAAACTTTGTTTTCTCTTCAGGCCTTCAGTGGTTGATTTACATAGCATTGGGTTTTATCAGTAGTAAACTTTCTGCATCATTTGTATTCACTTTAAATATTTCCAACTATTATTTTGCCAAAGAGTGATGTTGAAAACATTGTCTATGGGCTGGGGTTGTGGCTCAGTGGTAGAGCACATGCCTTGCATGTGTGAGGCACTGGGTTCGATCCTCAGTACCACATAAAAATAAATAAAGGTATTTTGTTCATCTACAATTAAAAAAATATTTAAAAAACATTGTCTGCTATCACCATCATTTCATAAAAGAAGACATTTGAGATAGAATAAAAGATGCTTTAAAAGGTGCTTTAAATTAGATATATTTAGCTTTTAAATAATCCAATTGTGTCCTTACTTCATCATTCTTTAAACTGATTATAAAATACAAACTTCATCCTGGCATATCAATCCTCAAGTTGGAGTTTGGGAATGAATGATGTATTTATGCCTGGGACTTCTCCCAAACCTCCTTCTGAAGCAACAGGAAAGAGAGAGAAGCTATGTGCTATACTACCAAAATAATATTTATTGCCTATTAATGAAAGTATGAAAAATATCCTCATAATAATCTACTTGAGATAAAATTAGATATTAATGATTTCATTTTCATCAAATGAAAATGGTTATCTTTTACACCACTGCTGACCTTTTGCATCTTTCCAGGTGATTCTAGGAATACTGCAAATTCTTGGTTATTTAACGTTTGTTTTCTAGTTTTAACATTCTGAAATTAATTGACCTTTAGACATGTTTAAACATTGGCTTTCTGTTGATGGATGGAGAGAGAGGACAGGTTTGAGTTTTAAAATTATTTTAGAGTTTCAGATGTTACCTGAAAAAATTTAAAATAATTTTATTTGATTAAATTCTAAATCTAGTGTAGATTTAAAGAATATAGAGAAATCTTTTCTGTGGTTAAAAACTTAAACACATCCCTGTCTACATGGAGTTTGTTTTAGCAGGTTGGACAATACTTAAGAAAGAATTGTGCTATTAAATGAAGAGGTGTACTAGTGAAGATTAATGGTGTCTGGACTGGAGGAGGAAAGGCTGCTTTAAACAGGATGGTAAGTGCCAGTTGCTTTGATGTGACATTTTAGTCTAATCTAGAAAGGTGGGAAGTAGGCTGTGGGAAATGTAGAAAACAGTGATCTTTAGGTAGCAAAGAATTTGTTCTATTCTGGGAACTGTCAGAAAGTCCACTTGGATGAAGTGTAATGAACTAAGGGAGAAGGGAGCCTTCCGGGCTTCATTTAATAGAGCCCTAGTAAGTATTCCTAATGAATAAATGAATGATCGAGTATTGTTTTTTTTACAGCTTTAATTCTGTCATGTCCTATGGCAGACCCCAAAAAAGAAGATGATGGTGAGTAAGGAATGAATATTACTGGGGATGATGGACCAACTGGTCAGCTCAGTTACTCTAGATAGCGCTTCATTTGGGTGCCAAGTTACAGGTTCAGAGTTTGGTTTTGTTAATACATCAACAGTAGATTAATCCTTGGGGGGGAACTTATTTCAACCAAACACAAGGGACTGATATGTAATTTGGAATGTTTACATTGGGGTTTCCAAAGAGTTTTTTTGATGTTAAATAATGTTTTTTTCTCTCATAGTCTTCTCGGAGCTGGTAAAGAGTGAATAATGGAAGAAAGGACTCAGATCTGAGTACATACTTCAAGAAAGCAAGGAAAAAGATGGCTATTGGGAGCCCCTTTGGCTAATGACCTGTAGGAGATGTGATGACTAATTAGTTTTTTAGGTTTTCTTTTTATACATTACCATTCATGACTTAATAAAATTTATTAAATGCCTGTTGTCTAGCATCAGCTTTAGTTAGCAAAGCATAATTCAGAGAAGAGGAATGTGGTTTTCAGCAACCATAGAACAGCAGTCATCACTGTGACAACCAAGATAAAAGTCCCTGACAGAATCCTTAAACACTAAGGTGAGACTCAAATTTACTGCAGGATAAGGAGAAGCTTGATTTATTTCTTTATTTTAAAGTATTTTTTAGTTATAGATGGACATAATACTTTTACTTATTTTTTATGTGGTGCTGAGTATTGGACCCAGTGCCTCACATATGCAAGGCAAGTGCTCTACCACTGAGCTACAACCCTAGCCCTTTGATTTTTTTAAATTAGATATTAAAGTCTGGAGTTCTGGAACTATTCATGTTTTTCACATTTACAAATGTTTTTCTTAAAGCAACGGAATACAGCATGATGAATTAATTAGGAAATAGAGTAAAATGGTTACAGGACTTTCTAAAGTGAATGTATTTTGAATATGATGTAAAGTAGCTGTCAGGAGTAAAAGAACAACTTTGAATGGCTGGCTGTATTCTGCATGTGTACTTTTTAACTTGATTCAAGCAGTATTGATATAAATATTTTCTAATTTTTATACCATATTATGTTTATGAGGCTATATGTTATTTCTAGGTATTTAACTTACTAAATTTCACTATTTAGAATATTTCTTTATGTTCTCCATTGTAGTAATTGGTATTGCATCCAACACTGCTATGAACATCTTTGTACTTATACCCTTATAGTTCTGTGTAAGAGTATCTCTGCAGTATATAGCAGGGAATAGTACTTCTAGGTCATTAAACAGTCCTACACTTAATGTCTGCAAATACTAACAACATTTTCTCCCCAGTGGCTGTAACTCTTTAATTGTAACCAGAAATATTATTATTTCCTAGATCTTTGGCAGTACTTGGAATTAATATGAATTATATTCTTTGTCATTTTGTGTGTATTTCTTTAATTTGTTTTTTTCTAAATACCAGTGAGCTTGAGTGTATCTTTATATGTATTGCAGTTTGGATTTCTTTTTTTGTAAATTATTTATTCATACCTTTGTCCATTTTTCTGTGGACTCCCTGAATTTTTTTTTCTTTATGATTTTCATTGCAGTTACTCCAGATCTTTTGTATATCTCTTGGCTTTAGGTGTGGTGACCTTCTTTAAACATGGACTTTTAATGTTGCTCTGGTAAAGTCTGTCATTTTCCTCTGTAAGGCTTGTTCCTTTAAAATACTGCATAAGAAAAAGTTTTTACTTTAAGATGATATTTACCCTTTTAATTGACTTTATATTTTAATTATTCACGTTTTGATTTTTAATACTTTTGAAGCCCATGTTTGGAGATTACATGATGCAAGGATCAGACTAATTTTTTTTCCAAAGAATGCTCCCATTTTTCCATCATCATTTGCTAAATAATTCATCTTTAGCTCACTGATTTGTTGTACCTACTCTGTAATGCATTTGGTTTTCCTTTCAGATAGGTCTCTTCTGGACTTTTTATGGTATTGGTCTTTGATTTTATGCCACTGTTTTTCTTACTGTTGTTTTATACTGTGTCTTAATTTTTTATAACTTCTTTTAGTTGGATCATGATTATTCTGGGTTTCCTATGTGAGTTTGTAGGTCCCCTTCAAATAATGAGACTTTATCTTTTGCTTTCAAATTGTTTTTGCCTATTATTTAATTTTTAAATTTTATTAGCTAGAATGTCATTTACTATGTTCAACAGTACTTATAATGAGGATATTTTAATCTTCTTGTTGGACTTAAATACATTAAAAAGTTTCATCATTAATTATGGTATTTGCTTTAGGGCATTAATAAATAAAGACTTCAAGTTAATGAAGTTCTGTTCTATACCTAGTTTTTTTTTTTTTTTTTTTTTTTACCTGTAATGTTGAACTGAATTGCCTTTTCTATGTCTATTGATGTGCTTTCTTCAATCCATTCCTGTGGTAAAGTACATAATTTTCTGGTATTGTTTGCATTTCTAAAACAAACAAATATTATAGGATAATTTTTTTCAAACACTATATTGGATTTAGTTAGCTGATGATTTAGGGAGTTAACTGTCCAAGTTTATAATGAAATTGGTTTATATAATTTTCTTTTCTACACTATCCTCATCTGATTGTTTTTAAGATATGACAAACCTGAAAAATGATCAGGCAGTTTTCACATATTTTCTAGTTTTGAGTCAATTTATATTATTATTATTATTTTGTTTGTTTATTTCTTGACACCTTTTATTATTTATAAAAATCAGCACTATCTATTATCTAACTGCAGTTTCTCCCACTGACAATTTATCTCAAAATGACATCATATTTCTATCATTAAAATATAATTCATATAACCTCTTTGTAGAAAAAGTAGATCCTGAGAGTACTTCATGAATAAATAGTGGCACTCTATGTGTCTAGATAACAAAGGGATGCATGGTAATATGAAATGCCAACGCATATTCTTTTATTTAAGCAACATGTATTTGTAGAGCACCTTCTAGCTACAAAGGCTCCTTGGAATTCAGCAATGAAGAAGACTGGCATGGCTCCTTGTCCTCAGGGAGCTCACGTTCTAGTGCAGAGATAGAGGGTTTTACATATTGTCCTACCATCTCCAATATGGATGTATGAAACACTTTAAAAACTTAAAATGTAATATATAATTATATAATAAGAATATAATTATTGTGTTAATTATAAAAACAATTATAACAATTATAATATTAATATGACATGTAAGCTCTAGGTTATTATTTGCATCCTATTTTAAAGCATCTGAGTTGATTTTGTTGAAATATTCAGAACTGAAGCTCAGGACTTAATAGGTTAAGATGGGCTAGTAAGTTCCATAAGACTTCTGAGGGCAAAGAGACCAAATGATAAGGTACATGCTTGTCAGGGAGACTAGAAGAGGTTTGCAGTGCAGGTAAATGCTGAAAATGACAGAGGACCAGCTGGGTGAAATGGAGGCTAGAGAAAGGAGGCCCCAGATTGAGGCTGTGTGCCTGGTAGTACAGCATGTCCAGCTCAGCTAGTCACTGGCCTGACACAGTGGGCATTCAGTGATGTGCCCACTGACCGAGGTGAAAAGAAGGACTACTCCCTGGCATTTGTTAAAGTTCAAATCTTTTTGATCCTACCCTAGAGTAAATTTATACTATGTAGCAGTTCTGATCCAGTTTGACAGGACTTTTCTGTAAAACCATTGGAGCAAATTAAAAGAAAATAATTTTCATTTCAATTTGTTTAATGTTTATTGGCCTATTTAAATTTTCTGTTTCATGATGTGATAATTTTGTAGTTGATGTATTTTTTTCCAATCTGTTGTATGTTTTCAAAAATATTTGGACATAGTTTTTTTTTAAATAGTAGAAATTTTAGAATCATTATAACTATAATTGGTCCCCTTATTTACATATAGTTTGCTTATTTACAATTTGTTATTATTTTGTTGAACTATTCCTTGAAGTTTTAAAAAGTCTTTTTTTTTTTTTTTTTTGCGGGGGTACTGGGATTGAACTAAGGGGCACTCGACCACTGGCCCCAGCCGTATTTTGTATTTTCTTTGGAGACAGGGTCTCATTGAGTTGCTTAGTGCCTTCCTTTTGCCGAGACTGGCTTTGAACTTGTGTTCCTCCGGTATCAGCTCTCAAGCTGCTGGGATTCCAGGCATGTGCCACCATGCCCAGCTATAAAAGTCATTTTTAAGGAGCTTTAGTTATATTAATCTTTCTTGCTTTCTTCTTTTTCTTTTCTTTCTTTCTTTCTTTCTTTTTTTTTTTTTTTTTGCTTTTTATTGTCTTCTACTCTTTTTTCTTTCTTTCTTTCTTTTTTTTTGGGGGGGTATGTACATGTTAACAGTTTGGCTATGAGGTGTCCCTCAAAAGCTCCTGTTAATCCGGGAGTATTCAGAGGTGAAATGATTAGATTATGAGAGCTAACCTAACCAGTCCATTCTAGTTTGAAAGGATGGACTGAGTACTAACTGTAGGCAGATGGGCTGTGGCTGGAGGAATTGATTCAATGGGGTTGTGCACTGAAGGATATTCTTTCTGGGGCTCTTTCTCCTTCCTCCCTCCCCTTTTTCTCTTGCTTCTTGGCTACCATGATCTGAGAAACTTCCCTCTGATCTGCTCTGGCCCCGATGTGCTGCCTCACTGTGAGACCACAGCAGTGGAGTTGGCTCTCTGTGAACTTGAAACCTCTGAAACTGAGCCACAAATAAACTTTCTTCCTTTAAGTTGTTGTTGTCAGGTATTATGATCATTGCAATGAAAAAGCTAAGACAAATTGGTCAGAGAAGTGCAGTCATTGCCATGTTGAGACTGACCATATGGTTGAGAAACATTTGGAGCTGGTTTGCAGAAAGAATATTGAAAAGTTTAGAATGTGTGCTGGAAAGGCTTTAGAATGTTGTAAATTGAGCTTAATGGATGATTCTGGTGTGAGCTTGATGAATATGAACTGTGTTCATGAGGTTTCAGAAGGGAATGAGGACTCTAATGGAAGTTGGACTAGTGGCCACTTGTGTTATATTATGGCAGAGATCTTGGCTACATGTTATCTATGTTCTCAGACTTTGAAGCCGAATTTAAAAGTGATGGATTAAGTAATCTGGCAGAGGAAATTTCAGGGCAGCACAGCATTCAGTCAGTGGCATGGATATTGCTGGAAGCATTTAGCTAGGTTCACTATGAGAATTGGGAGCAGAAAGCAGAGCTAAAGGGTTTCTAAAACTTGGAGATTGGCCATAAAAGTGTGTGTGTGCGTGGGGAAGCTGGGGGCAAGGAAGGTGTGCTTGTAGAAGAGATTACAGCCCCTAAATAGGTCTTCTGTGCTTACATAAGAGACAATAGGAGAGATTCCTCTATGGCATTTTAGGAATTTGCAAGACCACACCCACCACAGGCTCCAGGATATAGAAAATTCCTTTGAAAGGAGATCATGAGGGACCCTTGCTCACACAGGGAGGCATAGGAAGTTGTTTCATTGTGGTTTGCAGTGCAGGCACTCAAAGGTCTCCACAGTCATGATTCCAGGAGTCCTAGATAATGTGCAGGCTCACACCAGCTCTTGACATCATCCATATGGTGCTTGCTGGTTCTTCAGGAAAGTAGGATGCGGGTGTTAAGAGGGTCATCGAGGCTTCCATTGAGATTTCAGAGGAAGCCCTGGGAGACCAGGCAAAGTCTAGCAGAGTCAGAGTTCTTTCAGACAGCCCCTGAGAGGGT